ATTACTGTCGTCTGATTATTTCTAAACCGATGTACCTTAAAAAAAATCTAACTTATCTTTAGAACCTGTTGCCCATCATTTCATTTTTTTGTTCTATACACACACAAGAAAGGATCTTTAAAAACCAAATTTTCTTCAGCTTAAAAATAACACGCAGTGATAATGTTAACACTGCTAATTCTTGCCGTACGCTAACATTGGTCACAGGAAGTCGTCATGAGGGTAATGGGTTTACGTGACACATTACGCACAGTTTCCTAATAAAGACGTACTGCTGAGGGAAATGATGCCATTTAACGAGAGCAGCATCTATGGGAACATCAACATCTTTGAGAAGAGACACTAGAGACACTGCGGGCCACGATCACATGATGCTAACACTACGGTTCAGCTCGCATTGAGCGTTGTTGTTGATGTTGGGATTGTGTTGGGTGGCTGTGGGTGTCATGGGACAACCGTGTTGGATGAGGATGTCGACGCACTCCTGACTTCCTGCTCGCTGGGCGTAGGACAGTGGCGTCTGAGCGCGGGCGTCGCGACTCTTCACGTCCACGCCGTACTGAAATAGACGATGAAATTAATGATGGAGGGACAATTGAGAATGAAAGGCGGATTCAAAAAGCGAGTTCTTACCCAGATGAGCAGCTGCGTGAGGACCACATTAGCCATGGCGCAGGACAGGTGCAGGGCGGTACGTCCGTCGCCGTCCCCGTACGTCTCGTTGACCTCTTCCTTGGTGCCGTGGGCCAGCAGGACAACCACTAGCCTCAGGTCGTCCTCCACCACGGCCCGCAGGAGCTGCTGTCCCAGAGGCACGTCTGACTGAGGAAGCCCCACCAGGAACAACTTCTGCTCGTACTTCGCCCGGATCCAGCGCTCCTTCTCTTCCCTGAGAATGACGACACAAATAGAGCTCCACTTTTTATTCTTGTAAACACACTGTTTTGTTTATCAGTGGTCATTCTGATAGCTAACACCATTCTGTTATAGTGAATCAAATCAAAACTCTGAATCATGTAGGTAAATATTGTTGCTTAGTACTAGGTTTTGTTATATAAGTTTAAATAGTTAAATAATCTATACACACATATATTGATTAAAAACAACTATGGAACACACGTCTTTATTTATTATTTTTATATATTTTATTTTATTATTTTATATATTTATTTTTATTGCTTTCGTTCTTTTGGTAGAAATGACAATTCCTGACTT